CAACACATTTTCATTAGTAATCGTTATTTTTATTATAAGGTTCCCATGTACCACCAGTAGAAGTAAAAACAAACAACACATTTTCATTAGTAATCGTTATTTTGATTATTAGGTTCCCGTGTACCACCAGTAGAAGTAAAACAACACATTTTCATTAGTAATCGTTATTTTTATTATTAGGTTCCCCTGCACCACCACATAACCCGCAGTCAACATTGCACTGTACAGTACAGTGACATCCAATTCACGCTTTGATTATACACTACACAGCGTTCCATACAATAACCCTTATTTGGGCAATGAATATCATACGGCCGAACAAGTGTACGGCCGAACCGGTCCTACACCCAGCGAAGTGGGGGGGGGGGCCTGTCCCCCACCGATCGACGCCCATGCGGCCTACATTTTGTCATGTAAACCAATTTACCAATGTATTTCATACATTTCTGTTACCGCACTATTTGTATTGCGTTGCTGGGAAAGCATATTAGCTGTTATAAATAAATACATTTTCAATTTTGAGTATTTTTCTATATCTGGCTGGCACAATATGAATTGTGATAATGTTTGTGTCAGCAGAACCATTTAGGCTACGCCCTGCAGTACAAGTTAAATTGTATTCGTTTACCCTAGTAGGTCATATGATTTAATCGAAATAAAATATTTACCCATACAAAATAATATTGTAAAAATAAGCTACATACCGAAATCGACATTAAATAAACTACGGCGACCGTCATTGGCAGTCCTATGACAGTAAAGATTTGTCTACTTGAGATCATTGCTGGCGATTTTGTACAGTATTTATAATCCTTTGAGTTGAACGGTCCAGACTAGCACTGAACTGTTTGTGCTGCTGTAGTGAAGATACTGTCAGCATTATAGTACACCAATAATGTACTGTACAATGATACAATAGAGGGCGTGTATGTGCGCTTTCTTTTGTGCGCATCCCACTAGTTGTCCGGATTAGTTAGTAGGTCTATACTAATTAGATGCATATTCTGGTTTTCTATTATAATTTTTCTTCCTTATTGTTGTTACACAAATCATGTCGTTTACTTGGAACAATGCATTAGTCATTGATGTGTGTATAGTGCCAAATAAAAGAGCTGTGGCATAAGCTAGAAAAGCTTATAGTACGTTGCAGCTAGAAAATCGCGAGCATTGGCCGGACCGCGATTTTTTTTTCCGTACGATTTTTTTTTCCGTACGAAACATTTGTATGAAACTTCACTCGGGTTGACTCGAGTGAGTACGATACGAGGAACAATTTCACGGACTTATGTGATGTACGTTACTGTGTAACTAACTGTGACCTTCTTGGATGTTATTAAATGTTAGTATATTATCTACAACAACAACAGCTAGTACCTCCTGTTATAAAGTGTAGATAGGTACAGTTATACCAAAGGCTAGAGAGAAAGAGGATAAACTATAGGCCTAACTACAGACTGAGGTCTTACCTAGGCCCCTCCTTAAACTAGGCTGACACAACAGTCACGCTTCACATACTGACATGGACTGAAATTTTGGGGGAAAATGGGACAAAATTGAAGCATGAAATGAAAAATAGAGCGCATAAGAGAAATATTAAATAAATAATATACCATTCCGGCGTTACTGAACTTGTCCAAACTATCATTGTAATGTAATTAATGTTAAATAATATTAATAATAATAATAATTTCAGCATTAATTACCTTTGGCCTAAGCCTTGTAATGAAGAACCTACAGATACTGTACTATTTACTAGGCCTATAAATAATAATCGCCCAAGGGGAATATCCTGTGTTATTTCCCCTTAACGTCGTTTTTTTAATTGTCCTCTAATTCCTCCATTGTCTAAGTTCCCCTTAAGGTACAGGTAATAATAATAATTAATAAATAATAATAATAATCATTTCAGTACCTTGGCCTAAATAATCATTTCAGCATTAATTACCTTGGCCTACTTGTAATGAAGAACCTACAGATACTATTTCAAGGCCTATAAATAATAACTAGCCCAAGGGGAATATCTTTTGTGTTATTTCCCCTTTGTCTATGTTCCCCTTAACGTTCAGGTAATAATAATAATAATACAGTAATAATAATAATAATTATTATTATTATTATTATCATTTCGGCATTACATGTAATTAACTTGGTCTAGCCTTGTAATCAAGAACCTGCCGCTACTATGCCTAATATTAATAACTAGCTCATTTTTACATTCATTTGGTGCTCTGCCATTTTGGCAGGTCTTATGGCATCCAGTATTTTAGAGCTGCCTATTCTCATCTCTTCTCTTAATTTGAAAATAACTGTCATTCTGTTCATTTGATCAGTGATGAAGAAAAACGCGCTTTTCCTTACTCTGTGCTTTTCCCAGAAAGCGTTTTTAGTAGGCCTAGTAATTATGCAAAACCCAGGCCTAACTAAAAAATTAAAATTGTTATAATATGTAACTCAAGTTATAATAACACTTTTCATTACTCGTGCAGCTTAATCAAATATTATATGTCATTTTAAACGACCCATTGGTATTAACATGGTAACATCTATTTTTATACCTCCATGGTAACATCAATGTACAATATTTTTTTAAATCAGACAGCGACTTCTCTCAGAAGTTGTTCTGTAGACGTTTATCTGTTGATGACCTTTTGACCTCCTGAATTCTGCAATGAGATTTTCGGGTCGATTCAGCCGAGACGGCCCGAGTGGAGTTTCATGTAAATGTTTCGTACGGGAAAAAAATTCGCGGCCGAACCACTTTCTCTCAATACCGTATTTATTACTTTACCCCCTCACAATATTAGGAAATTTTTTGAAAAAAGTAATACTAAGACAGTCGTACACGGCATTCTAATTTAGATTGTGTTGCTATTGTTATGGAGTCGTGAAAAATATATTCGATAATTCGTAAACACGTTTTCTGCCGAATGACTCTAATGACTGTTGTAGGTGCGATATATTATTATGTTGGATATTATGTTTGCATTATTTGATTATATACTCATAAATAAAATTCGCAAATACCGATGTACGGTCTAGGCCTATACCAAAGGACTGTACTTTTATTATCATTTAGTGATTCACCACGAGCCTTGTTGATGCGCGCCAGCGTAATCAACAAAAACCAACACCAAATGAAGTACGGTACTGTAGTAATAAATAGGCCTAGATATGATCTTTTTTCTTTCTTCTCCCCCCCCCCCCTTCTTCCT